ATATATATATATATATATATGTATAATGGTTTTTTTCCTTTAGTATATATATATATATACATATATAGTTATATGTATATTTAATTATGCTTTGTCTGGGTGTCTATCTATCTACCTATTGGTAATATTTAATTTTTTGTTTCTATAAAAGATCCAATCGCCACATTCCTAATTCTTCTTCTCGTTCTGAATGTTAGCTGCAGACGTTTAGTTAGGAACTTACCCTTCATTGCGTGACAGATTCTCGTAGATTAGCCTAATGTACTGAATGTGTTCGTTTAACATGGAAGAAGAATACGGCATAGCTGTATTCATATTTAAAGCACGCACTGCTAATTTTCTGCACAACTGTAGCATATGCATACATAAACAAAATCGGTGCAACCTCTTTAAGTCACATTCTATAAAGTTTTATCTGGGCAGGCTAGATTTGTTAATCTAGGTGTTACTTTCAAGGGTACTTTATTTGTAAAGTTGTCACTTCGTTAATTTAAGAAATCTTTTAACCTATGTATTTTTTTGCATGATATCAAAATAGTTATGGTTTCCAAAAGTTCAGGCTGTATTAAAAGATTGAACAGGTAGAAAATTTAAACCATCGCTTTTAACTTATTAGTTATCTACGAAAGGTTTTATCTAAAATTTAATATTCACGTTTGTAGCACCAGAAGAAAACTTATATTTTTATTTGCATAAAGAGGTGCTACTACTGATTGAAATGAAGTTAAACTCTTCAAAACTCTACGTCATCTATGAACAACAGAAGGCAAATACTGTGTTTGAAAAATAATCTCGCCTAATGTAATCTGATCCTTTATATAAACATATAATTGTGTCATCACACACACAAACACAAAAAACGACAACTAAGGATATAGGTTCACACACATACATACACACACTAATGCCAGAATTCATATAGTCAGGTTCATCTCTTGCGAGTTGACGTCAGCTTATTATATGTTTGTTATTTATATCCTGTCTATGTTTGAAGAATTTCAGTCTAGCAGTTAGCTCATACGTGCTAAGTATAATAAAAACCTTCTCCAAGTTGCTGGGATTGAGCATAATAAATTGATTCTACATCTTATTAAAGAAAGTGCAGGCGCTAGAACAATTAATAATTTACTTTAACGAATGTTCTTAATGCCCAAACAAAACTAAGTATTTCGTTACCAAAATGTAAGTAATTCTTTAATATCTTATGTTTTGAAATGAAAACATCACTCCTATATTTTCTCCAAAAAAGGTTTATAGTATTCATAAATTACAGTATCTATATTAGATTAAACTGAGTTAACCTTTGCCGTGAGTGATATCTTCATATTAGAAAAAATCAGCCTTGTTTTAAGGAGAGTACACTGACTAGATTTAGAGTTTTTATGAACTCACTTCTCAGGAGTGAGAAATTGGCGTCATTTCGATGTGTGTCCTGATTCAGCTTTGTCATTATTGTTTACTATTAGTGTGCATGTGTAAACTCACTTGTTCATCCTGTCCATACTTGATAATATTCTTCCATTTGTAACCAGAACAGAGCTTTTCTATATATAATTATGTTTCAACTTGTATATTTCAAGAGCTGCCGATGAAAACAAAAATGTTCCCTTCCACCCTCCAGGGTCTCAAAGCAACTGTCTGTTTGACCTTTTCTACATAATTGAGAAGTACCAATACAAATGTGATTAACAAAATGCCTTCACATATCTTTTACTGTATTTTTAGCAGTTAATATTTAATGTTCATTTTTTCCCTTTATCCTCATCCGATTTCTGTCACTTCAAACTCCAGCTTCCCCCTCTGTGTTCTTTTTTTTTTTCCTTCTTGCTAATGGTTGTCTTCTGAAAGACCCTACACAACGAAAAGCTATGATGTTTAAAGTTGAATCCCTTCAGACAGATGGTTGTGAAAGAAGTGGAATTTGGTATATATATATGTGTGTGTGTAGGGTCTGCTAAATAAACTACTTCTGTCCTAACGGATAAAAAGGGAAAGACATGAGTGAAAACACGTGCGTTTCTGAAGTTAAGTACGTTATAACATACGATTATCATCTATTTGAGTAGGAAACTTCCAGCAAGTCAGCTTTACTCTAAATACATACTGAGAAAGTTATAGTTAGACTGACAAACTATTTAAAAAGTTATACTTAAGACGCAGTAATTTCATATTCGTCTATAAAGTAAATCGAAGATCCGTATTAAAAACATTAACAAATTTACACACATAATGAGCTTATTCAAATAAACAATGCTTCAAATTTTTTTCCGTCTTAAAACCTGACATGGCTTTGTGGCTTCATTTCTGTAGATTCAGAGTTTTGAATTCACCTTTACTTAATCTTTAAATTATTACATTAATATGACTTTTTAAACACATTTTCGTTTTCTCAAACCATGATGTACAAAGAAAATGTTTTAGATATTTTGTCTTTTTTCCTTTCCATAACTAAATAAGTAAACAAACAAAAAAAAACAAAGCAAAGTATAATTGTGGGTTTACTTTCTTTAGTGAGATTGAACTTTTTTTTTTATTTTGACGTCTCGTGAATTGCTTCCTTTACGTGAACAATCTTTAGCTATTGGGCTATTGGTAGTTCGACGACTAATGAAATATCTACTAAAATATTTACATTATTCTTAATGTCTCACTCGTAATTTCAATTATCTTCAGCCAGACGACTACGAATTGTAATTCAATTTACATTGTCCAGTAAAATGTTTCATTGAAATATCACTTCAATTATTTTATATCCTTGATGTAATTTTTGCTTAAATTGTCTTATTCCTTTGTATTTAACTTCAGCATTTCACATCTCACGTCCAGTTAAGTCTTTGATTGAATTCTCTCTAAAACACAGAAATGGGTCTGTAATCTCCATATTCCTTGTGTAAAATGTAACATTTATTTTTCTTCCATATTACTCAGCCAAGAAGCAGTTAAGCTTTTGTTTGAAATTTCTATGGCATCTAATTAAATCTCGAACTTTAACAGTCCTCAGCGCAACAAGTATTGGAATGTTGTTCAAACTGTAACTTACATCATAACCGTTAGTCGTTGTTATTCAACTTAAACATTTCTCAGTTTATTGAGAATTTGAAAGTTTGTAAGGAGTATCCTCTAAACTCTCCGTAATCCTTGGCGTTTAACTTGAAAATTATTAGTAAGAATTATGTTTTATCGTCATTATTGTTGTAGTAAAACGCTTATTTTAGAAC